TGGGCCAAAAGAGGGGGCCCCCCCGCCTTTTGAAACCCCCCCCCCCCCCCCCCCCCCCCCCCCCCGCAACCAATGGGCTGATTACTAAGGCACATGAGTACCCCCCCCACACATCACCAATATCCCGCCCGTCCCATCCCAGCACCACGCTCGCTTTGTCTCTCCTGTCAATGCTCCCTCTCTCTTACCTAAACATGACGAGATTGGCGGCCGGCCAGACCTTCCAATCGGTGAGCCAGATGGACCAGAAGGTCTCCCCGAGGTTCTTCTTGGTCTCGTCAACTACCTTGGCCGGGCCGCCGCCATTAAGCACGGCCGCGTAGCCGACGAAGCTTGTGATGGAGAACGGGGCGTACACCATCTGGTCGACCACTAGCTTCTTCAGGATCTGCTGGAAGCGTGTCCTGGTTTTTCGTTTGTTTGGCCGTTCCGTCGAAAAAAGTGAGGGAGGGAGGGAGGGAGGTAAGCGGAAAATCACCATATGGAAGAGCCGTCAAAATGAAGCGAGGAAAGGCAAACGGAAAATCACCACGGAAAAAACCATGGGACTACCGCACGGGCCGGCGGTTCCTCATCGGTCCGAGACAACGAAATAACCCTTGTGTGTATATAGCGCAAGCAAGAGCCACAAGCAATTACTTTTTTCTTTTATGCTGGGCTCGGTGACGTCGTGCGGGGGAGAACGAACAAGAGTGCAAAAAAAAAAAAAAACGACCAGAGAAATTCTAGGTCATCGTGCCAGAACCATCGCGCATGGGTGTTTCCTCCCAGACTATATCTCTGTGTGCGTTCGTGTCTGTCTGCCTGTCTGTCTGTGTGTCTGTCTGTCTGTTTCCGTCTCTCTCTCAGTGTGTGTGTGTTCCCGGTCTCTACTTTCAACTTTATCTCCAGCAGGGGGCTTCGAATGTCGGGGCGTGATATCTTCCGTCATCATCATGCCACCTACGGTATGTACCTGTCAGAGCCGATGTAGCGGTCGAGGACACGGTACCAAGCCCCAAGGGCGAAGCCGTTGAGCATGATGCCCAACAGCCCGACCTTGGCGCTCCTGGCGTAGTCCACTCTTCTCGTCCTTCCGCGCCAAAGAAGGCGTCCGATTGCGGGGAAAGCAGCAGCGGCGGCAGCAACAACAAGAACAACAAAGCGGAAGAGTTTTAACAGCGGAGGCAAAGCAGGGGAAGGGGGCTGCTGGGAGAGCTCACCCGTTGGGTCTCTGCGCAGGGTGGAGGATCATTGTCAGATTGGCCTGAAAACCATGCGCTACTTGAACGGCCGGATGTTGTGTTTGTACGAAGACTACGTGTGCATACGCATGTGGCGCTCCTGTGTAGTCATCGTTTCATTGCGAGTACGGTGGGTGGCACCAGATACCAAGCCCCCTGGATCGATTTTGAAAGCTCGATGTCTCCATGACGAAGAGGATGCACAAATAATCAGCAAAATGTGTGACCCATTTTCGGAAATGCCATGGTATGTGGACCCTTAGACTGAGATACCGTTTGGGCCGACATACGTATCTTGCGAGAGAGAATACAGGGAACATCTGATCTTCATAATCCGAGTTCATATGCATACAAGCAGTGCAATAATTGCTGTTAAGTGTATATGACGTTCCCTGTTGCTCAGTGTCGCCTAGGAGTGAGCGATACGTGCGGCTGAGAGAGGAACGAATGACAAGGAAGGAAATGGATTGAAACGAAGCAGCAAACTTGAACTTTGCACACAGCCAGTGGCCGGATACACGCTCCACGCTGTAATGAATTTCGTCAAAGAAAGCTCTCAACGAGACGGTTCCGACGCCGCCATTTTCGGAACCGGCACTGCTTCTCCTGCCGAGTAATCGGGCTTTGAAGTCGGTGCGAGGGGCGTGGTACAGTATCTTATGTCACTGGGCGGGTACAGAGTATACTACAATACTGAATTCGTGAAGTTCTTTGTGTATAAGGCTCCCTCAGCAATTGAGACCAAAAAAAGAGCAGAAACCACGCTGGGTTTAGCCATGGGACACCGCGCCGCATGCCACCGGCTTCAAGGAGTTCCATTGCTAGCTCGGAGGCTTAGGTGGCCATACATTATACTACATGCACTGTGTAGTCTCTACGGGCGACGCTTGACGGGTGTGCTCGTGTTGGCCTGCCGCTGACCAACCCATAGACTAGTCTACACTTCCTCAGAAAACAAAAAAATAAAAAATGAGCAAATAAATTCTTCTTGAATGATGTCATGCACGCCCGTGTTTTGAGCTGTACCATCTCTTTCCTTGACAGGTGCAGCAAAGAAAGGGGGTACTACAGCGGTGAGATTGTGGCTTCTACACGCTGTGCGGCCGCGCCGCCCTGTTGCGCCCGGGAAAAGAACCCCGACGGCGGTAGCTCTATTTTGCAACCGCGCCGCTACAAATCTCGTGCCCTGTCAACCCCATCAAAAATATGACAAGACACGCCGTACCTGTCGATAAACTGCTGCTGCCAGGATGGCTCCTCCGACTGATGCTGCCGTCTCCGCCCAGCCACCACGAGCTGGGACTGGGGCCGAGCGCCCTGGGACAATGCATCCCCCACAGCGAACGTGGAAAATCCCACGGCGCCGTTGATCAGCGTCGACCGTCGGTTTGCCAAGGCAGCGATAAAAGAGGAACCGAAAACCTTCATCGTAAATTCGTTCCGATGCGGGTGCGTGCGTTGGTTGACTGCTGTAGGTAGAGGATACCCGGGTTACAGCTCCTGTGCTCTCCCTCTCAACCCCTTATCCTCCGCGGCGTATGCCAGATATCAAGAAATACCAACAAGGGCGTGCACTGCGCAACGCCTGCAGGCTTACACCAGAGCGCAAGCCAGCGAGGTTTGGTTGTGTGCGTTGTTTGGTTGGTGTGGTTGGCGGAACAGCGGACAGATGACCCGAGGGAGCTCCGCGGTATCAACGTCCTAACATGTAATTCATCCGTGTTTTTCGGTGAAAATTCCCGGAAAATGCACACATCAATGACAGTGCCGCCTCGCGCGAGACCGAAAAGCCGTGCTTGCACAGAGCCCAGAGTGTGCCATCGTGCTATCTCTTCTCTGTTTTATCGTTTCATCACACCCGCACCCACCCACATCCGCGTGCCGGATTGAGCTCAAAAGCCCGTCTTGTTTGCACTCGTGAAAAAGGGCTTCGTGTTCTGTCTACGTGTCTACACATAGCAGGCGGAAAGGGACGTGTTCTTCACTCCCCTCCTATCCCGCCGCACACGAACAAACCCTGCTTGGGTGCTCACCAGACTCAAAGCCGGTCTCGAGCACGCAACAGGATATCCCCCACGAGCCACCAGAAACGCCACTGCTGCTGCTGCCGCTGCTAGCCGCCCCTGGTCTGCTCCTGAGATAGACGGCAGGCAGCCAAATGGAGAACCAACCTTTGCTCAAGCCACGCGGATCCGGCACCGACTTTGCCGGGCAGGACCATCATGACTCGCGGGAAGGGGACGGCGCGCGCCCCCGGGGCGGCGGCGGGTCGCAGGCGTACTCCTCCGCGGCGGTCTTCGCCGTGTTCTTCTTCCCTGCCCTCGGCGGCCTCTTGTTCGGGTGAGCCAGCAGCAAGAGCTTCCTGTGTGCGTTTTTTTGGCCTTTGCTACCATGCGTGATGGATCGATCACGGCTTTTTTTCTGTTTCAAGAGAGAGAGAGAGCAATGCTTTGCGGCAGGATAATCCACAGCCTAGAGGTACGAGTAGCTTTCCACGTGGTGCTGCTGCTGGCTTGCTGGCTTGAGCCGTCGGAAGGAACAGGGGATGTTTCGGGTACCGCGATTGCCTGCTGGCCCTCCCTTGCGGGGAAGCTGGGCGTGATACCAGCGCGCGAGAGTGGTTGAAAACTGCTGGGTACACAATTGCATTATGCATCATGTTCTGAAAAAGAATGTTGCCTTCGCGTCCAAGGAGCTGGTGCAGCGTCTTGGTGTCAAGCGTACAGCCCGTAAGGTGTGGCTTTCCGGTGGGCTTGCAGGCATTGGACCCGGTCGATGCACCCAGCTGGGTTGTCGGTCTCGCTTCGCACGGAGGAAGCCACCACCTCTTCCTCTGCACTGATAGCGTTCACGCCGTCCTCGTCACGCGTGCCCGGTGACCGACATTAAATGGATTTTGTTTGGATACCCCGCATCGGAGATTTTTGAGCTCACAGGAAGTACAGATTTTGACACTATACAACGCCACCTACCGCTGTAGGACCATATGTAGCACAAGCATGGAAGGTTTGGTCCACACTGCTCCAGGGATGGTTTTAATAGTTTAGCAGCTGAACAGCAGGCTACCCCGTACAGCCTACCTCCAATGGTGTTGAGAACAGGATCCTAACGGAAACGAGCTTCAGTCGAGTTTTTGTTTTGAGAATTGAGAATCGATGTTGGAGCCAGCGTTACGGTCCATCTCGATCGAGTAATAGTAACATATGCATGCAGTAAGGAGGCGTGCACCGATGCCAACGTGTAGAACATATCTCAAAACAGACCAATACAATTGTACTGACTAGAGGTTCGGAGCAATGTTTGGACTCCAACTATTCTGAGGGATGATGGGCTTCCCATCGCGATGGGACAGTAACAGGGGCTCCGCCTGTCCATGAATTTTCTGACGAGAGAAGACGAAAAAATGTGACGTGCGACGAGTTTCTTGTAGGATCTGGATCACGGATGACTCGTATTTTCGGCCTCTGATACAGATGCACCCCACAAAGGCACCGCTCGTAATTTTTCAAGCAAAACACCATTCACGGCAATGTCTTGACTGCTGTTGAGCACGGGCTATTTCTAAGCTATCACATACTGGTACCAAAGGAAAATACGTGGTGTTGATCCGGCAACGGAGCACAACACCAGTATCTTAAGCAGGCGCCATTTTTCATGTTGATTTTCAAGAAAATCTGAGCGTCAATATCTTGTAAACATATTTGGCCCGACATGTTTCCTGTGAGCACGCCCGGCCAGGACCTTGTTCAAGTCTGAATACCGGAACGGTTGTATTTTTTGCACACATATGCTTCAAATGCCTGATTCGCAAGCTTGTGGCCATGAACCCCTCTTGACCGGAAAAATAACCCCCGCCGAAGTGTCCGTTTGCAAATGTACATCCGTGTCTTACTGGATCGGAAAGTCTTTGCGTCATCCTCTCGAGAGGTCTGAAGAAGGCACGCCATACCCATGTCCATGAGTACTTCCCCACTCCCCACAGCAGAAAGGGAGGGGGTGACAGACCTTTTAAATGGTGTCCAGGATTTCAGGTGTAGATGTAGATATACCATGCGGGGATTAGATATGTATTGCGGGCACACCCCTTTCCCTGTCATCCAGGAGAAGCAGCCTGCTGGCGCGGCGGTGAAGACGTTCCGTGTGTGGCGCACAGAACCAGGCGTCAACGCTTTCTATGTTGGGCGAGGCGCGTGGCCTATGGTGTTGTGATCTGCGAAGCCAATGCCTGAAGCAACGACGCTTCGCTCTGTGGTGGCATTACATTTCTCCGTTTCACGGCGGACCAGGGCGACTGAAATGAGACTCAATCGTTCGCCGTGCGTGACAGCGGCATCGGGGGTGCGGAAGTTTTTGATATATGCCAATATTCAAGCTTGAATCCCCTCCTTCGGTCAGACTTAGAAGTATGCACGCTCAGTGACTTGTTTTGATCGTCGCCCTTGTTTATCGTGAACCTTGTTTATCGTTCATGGTCTATTGGTATTTGTAAAGGTACGACATCGGCGCGACTTCTTCCGTGCTGACACAGCTCGAGTCTTCCACCTACTCGGACGTGTCTTGGTACAACGTGGTGGCGAGCAGCACCCTCCTGCAGGGGATCATCACCAGTAATGCTGTTCTGGGTGAGTAGACCAATGGAAGACTGTCTGTTGCGGCTGCTGCTGCTGCTGCTGCTGCTGCTCTCTTCGTTGGTGTTATTGGTGGTGGTGCTGCTGAACCGTTGATGTCGTAGTCGTCATTTTCGTTGCACTGGCTGGTGTCTTTGGCCGGTGGCGGGAGGTGGTGCTGGTGGCATCGGTGTGGCGGTTATCTGCCGTTGCTGCTGATGGCGCCGCTGATTCCAATGAGGGTGACACATTGGTTTTGGTGTTGGTCTCGTCCTTGCTGCCGAACGCTTACCACGAAATCGAACAATTCGTACCACATCCTTGTCCCTCTGGATCACGCACAGTGCCTACCTCCCGCCCGCCGTCGTCCCCCTGCCGAGACAACCACCACGAACAACCGCTGTACTTAACAGTACGTCGATGGATGGCAGCAGAAAACGCCTCGTTTCCCGCCAGTAGTGTGTAGGACAGTAGGACACCCAGGACACCCATGTGTCGGTGGCTGACAACGAGAGTCCCTGGACGACCTGACAACGAGAGTCCCTGGACGACTGCCACCGGTAGTGCGTGGGGCGGCATTTTGCAGGCTTTCCATCTATATCTGTAGCGTGCTCCCGGCCGGGCCGCCGGAAAACACCGGCTTTCGGCGATGCGTTTGGATTTTTTTCTGTTTGTTTCGTCTACAAATTGAAAAGTCACAGATGAAAAATTATTACTCACCTCGACCCCCCCTTCGAACACGCTGGGTTTTTTAGAAAAGGGGCGGGCGGGTAAATATTACATCCTCACCTCGTGTCGCTATCGCCACGCGCTGTAGAACGTCTCTATCTTAAGCATGGGGTCCCAGCTTCGCTGGTTTTGGCACGAGCTTCCGGGCGGAGCAGTTGAGCGCTAGAAAGGGAGAGCAGTACAAGCACAGGAAGCAACATGAAGACCCTGGGAGCTTGCTTGTCTGTCCTTGACCTGTTCCTTTTCTAGCGCTCAACGTTTCCCCCCGGAAGCACATCATCATCATAGCTGAGACCCATCCTCAAAGGCAGAGACGTTTCTACGAGAAACGGTGGCAATTTCTACGTTTCGCTGCTGTTCCTCTTTTTCGGAGATTCCGAGGAGGTTACGCCGCCCCAACCGATCCGGCTTTTGAGGTTTCCTTGCTTGTTCGGAGGCGTGATGTGTGAGGTGTGGCGATTTATTTCATGTCGGTGCTCGCGGCGAAAAGCTCTTGCTTCATGCGGAAAGAAGGAGTTCATGCGGAAAGAAGGACGAGGGCCGAACAGGGTAGGCATGCCCTCGGCACACCCTTGGGTGAAAGAGCGACTCAGTCGGGTACATGCTTTCAATGGTCAGCGTGAAAATGAGCCTCGCGCCCACTTTTTCCATCAGCCTTGTCACTTCAAGCCAGGGGGTATATACCCTGCCGCGGGGCTACCTTTTCTCGCCAAGGTGCCGTGATTAAATTAGAAATCTCGCAGATGCAGCCCAGGAAAAAGGCGAGCATACACGTTTCTCCCAAGCGGCGAAGGTGGCGGCAGGCGGGAAAACTGAAGGCCTGCATTATTTTTTTTCTCGCCTCCCAAAGCGCTCTCGTACCCAGCTACCCTTTTCCGGTCCAACCCCAATCCGGCGCCCCCCCCCCGTTGAGCTTACCGTTGCACTTTCTATCTCTGCCTCTCTCCTCAGGTGTCCTTCAAAACCCCCCAAAAAATCAAATGAAATAAACCTTAAGTTGTCCTTCAAACACTCAAACAATAGTTTTGTATCTTGCGGACCTACCCCCCCCCCCCCCGCGCCTTTTTCTCCAAAAAAATTCATTTCCGGGAGAAGGG